GTCGCTCTACAGCTCCTCCGTATGAAAGCTCGCTTCCAACAGCTTGAACATCTGAACTCTTGTTCTGTTCTGCAGGAGACACAGTAGAATCATTCATAGTCATATTTCGGTTTAAATTAGACAGGTAGGTTAAAATCTGGAAGATTCTGATTTACACGATCTTAAAAAATGTTAAGCACAAAGAATAAAAGGATTATTATTTGTAGCTTATAAAAAATGTTCAATATTATAAAAACAAGAAAAGACTTATTTGAATAAGATCAGACACAAAAACTAAAGATTTATTGATGAAGACAAGAGTTATTCTATTTATACTAAGTTCTGAATGCCAAAGTAGCAATTTATCTTGTACAACGCTTATCACATCTGGTGAACCTCAGTATTTAGATAGCTGAGATGCACTTCACTTATCATAGCTTGTCCATGTTGTTGCACAACACAGACATATCTACCCATCAAGAATACCTTAATCTTTATAGACAGTTGTAGCCCTTCTGGCACAACAGGATACATGCTACTAGATCGATATTAATTATCCTTATGGAAAGGATAGATCAGGGTACTTCGGATGAGAGTCTAATTATTCATCCAGACAGAGCTAAATCATGATTAGCTTGCTGGAGTTGTCTTTTAGCATGATTAGACATTAGTTGATCTGAGTTGACTTATTTGTTAATCTAATTAATAGAACTTTTATTCATTGTTATAGTATATAAGAAGGATCATCTACCTGGCCAGTAGATAGGCTTCAGTTTTACTTTACACCTGTCAGTTTTGTAATGAAATAGCCACCCAAACGCAACTTAATTGAAAACCAAAGTTCATCAAATAGCACTCATTCAAATTCATGCTATTTGGATCTATTAATGAAAGCGCTCAAATGTACATCAAAAACCCATTTAAAAATACTAAAGTAAAGATGCATGCTTATATCGCACATCGTGTGAATGAATCACTCCTGATCACAGTGTATTCAATCACACCCATGATGGTCGTAATAGGTGATGGTATCTTTATCCAAATAGAATTAAATCAATAACAAGCATATTCAAATATGACAACTATGCCCTGCTGCCATAGTTGCACAATATCCCAGATAAAGGATTCCATGCTTCAATAACAAACATCACACTTTAAACCATCAAGGTTACATTAAATCATGCTATGACGATAGCTCACCCAAGCCCATCAAGGTTACTCAAATCGACCCTTATGGCCAGTGCTCTTGCATTGATTACCACTTTAAAGCAAACATCAACAACATTTGCCAGATATCGCAATAGCAGCACCTATTGCTCTCTATCATCACTAATCCTACAAGCTAGTTGCAAATGTATAAATACTCTTCTTTTTTTTACTCAATTCCAGGATCTTCAGTTCATTTTATACACAAAATAAAATACAGTTGATTTCTATTGTATTTTACTATTGCTTTATTTTTTTTATGAAATATATTTAAACCTGATTTCACTTCAAGTTTGATAATAAAACATACCTTTATCAAGTTGACATTACTGTTTTTTTATTCTTTTTTATCCGTGAATTTTAGTCTATCAAGCCTCAAATTCCACAATTAATAGTGATGATTGTTGAGAGAATCAAGTGGATAACATTTATTAATATGGCTTTAATTCATTTAATGTTATATAGCCTATTGAATATATCCCAATCCAACTTAATCCGAGAAGAAAGATGATTTTTTGATCTAACCGATCAAACATTCGAACATTCTCTCTTTGCTGTTTCATTAAGTTGACTTCATTGTTTTTTATTCTTTTTTTTCCGTGAATTTTAGCCTTATAAAGCCTCAAATTCCACAGAATGATCAAGTTAAGCTTTGATTTACTTGTTCGTGTGGCAACACGACCTACTGCGTTTTATTTTTGGTCAAATTTTGTCTAAATTTAGCCAATTTGAAGCACGAATAACTCATGCTACAAAGCGTTGTGAACGCTTAGAATAGCGCCAAACGGCTCTGCTTGATACGCCTTACTTACTGATACTTTATCTCAAAATTTTTTAGGCCATCGCAAATCAATGAAAATCCTCCTTTTTTCATGAGTATTGGCAAGGAAAATTTTTTGAAAATCAAACGATCGCGCTTTTCGTCCCAAAAATGAAGACTTTTCCTATAATACATATAGAATTAAACTGATCGTAGAGATGCAATGCATCACTGAAAACTGTTTCTATGAGAGTTTTATATGCTAGATTTTGACATATTCACAGAAAATCTGTTTTTATATTTTTGCAAATTGCTCACTATTTTCGGTCAAAAACCTGAATGTAATTAGCATCATTTGATGCAGCTTCTTTAGTCCCCTAAGGATGTGTTAGAAAGTTGGGTGTGAAAATGACAATTTTCATAGTCAAATTTAGCAAAAACGCTTAAAAGATGTGAGATCAAGTCAAATATGAACATGAAAATACCCACTGCACAATTTCAAATTAAAGTGCAGCAGTTACGGCTGCCACGGCAGAAGACTGAGAACAAATCTACTGACCGTGACGTTGGATAGGGCTCCCCCATCATTCTTCCATATCCCCGTTTTTTTCCCCCTTTTTTGCAAAACGCGTTTACTACCAAACCATGGCTGTTTTGGAAACCTTTTGAGTGAAAATAACACTTTAGCTTTTGATAGCACAACCTTGTACTATTAGTAATACGTGATACTGCTTCTTTGAAGTAGAATATAGTAAATACCATTCGATAACGAGCACTGGAAGACGTGAAATTAACACTAAAAGTATTTATTTGTTAGGATTTGATAATTCTTTTGCCCGTTTGACGTGTGTCCTGCTGCCTTTACTTTTATGTTATCTCTAGTATCTCTTTCAATCTACCATCTTTGGTATCTGCTTATTTGGTATGCGTCGGGCAAGTATCTGGTCTCTGCACGGTCGGTGTATGGTCTTCTCTAATGCTGTTTGTTCTCTCGTTTCTCTATTATAATAGTTCTGTTGCGGCTGATTATTTGGTCTGTGTATGGTCTGTGTATGGTCTTCGTTGGCGTTGTTTATTCTTTCGCTTCTTTATTCTGGTAGTGCTATTGCGGCTGCTTGTTGGGTCTGTACCTTGTCTCTGTTTGGTCTGTATCTTGCCTCTGTCTGGTCTGTATCTGTTCTGTGTCTGATTTATATCTGGTATGTAACTGGTCTGTATCTGGTCTGTGTACGTTCTGTGTAAGGCCTTCTCTAATGTTGTTTTTTTGTTTCTCTATTATAGTGGTGCTGCTGATGCGGCTGCTGTTGCGGCTGGTAATCTGGTCCTTCATGGTCTACTGTTTTTTATGTATGCTTGTTCTCTGGTCTGTCTCTGGTAATTGCGCATTCTCTGGTATTCTGTTTGTGGTTGTGGTAAGTGGTAAGTAACTTTTTTTCTTCTGGTCTCAATAATATAAAACTTCTCTGGACGTTTTTGTTATTATTGCTTCCTTTCTCGTAATAATAATGCACTCTTGACGTGTATTTTGTTGCGTTTTTTGTTTCTTTCGTTGACTGTGATATGTTCATCTCAACAAATACGTGCAATGTCGTTGTTTCGTATGTACGAACAACAACAAGCATGACTCACTGCTACTACATACTTGTATTGCGGTTGTAATACTTTGTTATATTGCCGTGGGTTGTTGTCTGTGTTGCCTCTGTGGCTTCACATGAGACAACATTAGTCATCATGTTGTATTATATTGCACACCACTCATATATACCGCTGTTGCTCCTGCGATTGTGCGTACTTGTGTTGCTTTACATCAGACTTTTATCATGCACGTTATTTATGTATATATTCTTGTTGTTGTAACCAGAATATAGTATGAACATTTTTACAATGCATTCAGTATAATATCTTAGATGTTATATTCATGATATGCTTTTTTTTTTAAACCACTTTGTGTGAGTGTTTCTTTTTTGCTTACTATACTCGTATAGTATTATATTCTTTTCTTCTTTTTCTTTCTTTCTCTTATTATATGTTTCTTTTGAAGCATACCTTTTTTTACGTTGTGTGGATGTGCCTATCCCTGAAGCTCAACAAGACTTTATCCGAGGCTAGGAGGTAGATAGGCCGCCTCCACTTGGTTATCGCTACTTACTTTAGTGATGATTGAGAGTCTCAGCGCCAGAATCTAAAGCTAGGTGGTGTAAGTAAGGCATGCTCTAGCACCTGAGGGAAGTTTGATGATAGCAGCGGCTATAATGCTATTATAGCGGCGCTTAAAATTTTGCCTCACATCCAAACAGGGGGAAACCCTCGCAATTTTTTTTTCAGGTCAGCGGAGTTTTCAAGAAATTTGATTGGCTAAGAGTTTGAAGTAACGAAGGGTTACAACTAGTTGATTTCCTATTGATTTGTCATATAGTAAAATTTTGTCTTTGTAATAAGTAAATACAGTTTAAAGCCTTGTTTATATAGAAGTAAGATAAAGTGTAGGCTTTATATAATATACAATCTTTTGCACAACAGTTTAATGTGAGGAATGTCTTTTAAAGTTATCAGATGGGAAAGCTATATAGATATTATAGTACTTCAATACGAAATATAAACCGAGGACATACAATTAGAATTGAACATATTTACTGTTATTCCAAGATTGAATGAGGATTAAAAACAGTGTAAATTCCGATGGTATCTACTATTATAGTTATTTGACAGTGGTGACGCATGAAATGAAATAGCTACCTAAAAACAACCTCATTGAAAGCCGAAATTTACCAAACACTATTCATTCAAATTCATACGATTTGAATCTATTAATAAAACGCTCAAATGTACATCAACAATCACATGAACACACTAAAGTAAAGATTCACCTTGATCTCGCACATTGTGTGAATGAATCACTCTTGATTACAATGTATTCAATCACACTCATGATGGTTATAATAAATGATGCTATCTTTATTTAAACAAAACCAAGTCAACAACAACATATTCAAATATGACAGCTATGCCATGGTACTACCAACGTCAAGTCCAGCCTTTGTTTAATATCGCAGACCTATAGCCTTAGTTTAATTTGTTTCTTTGGCGATAACTCTAACAGTAGCTCTTCAATAGCCTTATTGATGATATCTTTATACGTAGTAGCAAAGTCGCTGTAAGCTTCAATCTCTTTCAATGTGCCGTTTTCTGTGTACATGTCTTTCGTGAGACAAATGGCAGGCATCGTCTGCACAGTTTTCATTTTGAGGCCGTCTAAAACCTGTCTAAATTGTACCGCAGCTTTTCCTCCACCTCGATTTGCATAACTGACAATGATTGCTGGTTTACTGGTCCATTCATTGTAAAGATAGTCCACAGCATTCTTCAAGGAAGCAGGATAGCCCCAATTGTACTGTGGTGTAACAAAGATAAACCCATCTTTTGAAGCAATCTTCTTGCTCCATTGCCTCGTCTTGTCGCTGCTATAATATTGCTCTCCTTTTGCTGGAATTTCAGGTTCATTGAATAGAGGGAGATCCCACTCTCTTAAATCAATAATCTCCAGGTCTAATGAATGTTTGACCGAGATGGTACTGAGCAACCATTTTGTAAGTTGATGTCCAATTCTAGATGGGCGAGTGCTTCCAACAATTACGCCAATGTTCATTTTTGATTAAAAAAGTGATTTGATGAAATGAAAGCGAGTTGGGCACCTATTTATACTGTTTGATTTTAGTACCAAGCCCCAAATTACGTAAGGTGCGCTTATCCGGAGAAGGCTATAGCTAAAAGTAAAGCAGCAGCAATACTTTCAGAAAGCGCGCTTCATGATTCTAAACATTTTTTGCAGCTGACAGTATAGCAGTACATCATATCTCAATTTATTATTGCAAAAGGTATGTATAATTCTTTTTACATTTTTGATTTTTGCATCATGACCTTCATCCTTTCATTAGCTTTACCCTCATCCTTTGAGTTGCGACTCCAGGGCACAATCAAGCATTGATGTCTATAGGCTTTTGTCAGCGATTTGATGCTTAAACCCGATTCTTCCAATGCGCCTTACCTTGTAATAGCTAAAATCTCTCCTTCCTCGTTCCAGATCTCGCCCGAGATATCAAATCTACCATTGATGATGTGAGGAGCGATATAATGACCTCTGATGGTCTTTCCAGTGGGTTTTCTCTTGAATTGCACTTCAAGCTGCATGGTAGGACACCAAACAGGACCATCCAAGACAGCAGGACCAAGCAATGTAGGGGGAGTGATAAACATATCACACCAATAAGGAATACTCTTGAAATCAATATGTCTTCCATCCTTAAATCCCATGGTCTGTGAGACCTCTGGCTTTCCTGCTTCAGTGTCTGATTTGGGAAAGGTACGCATATCGAATGTTGTGTTGAGGAATTCGCCCATAAAGACATAGTTGTAAGGCTCTAAATGCTCATCAGAGGGTGGTTGAGGGTTCTTGTGAAAGTGGGTAGGGCCCTTTTCATTGTCCATGTTGCCCATAGTGAAGATACCTTGTACCTTGTCTTGCCATTGTGAAGGATCGTAACTCTCCAAGCTTGTTAAAGGCTGTAAATCCTTTCTTTGCTTCAAGATGGCACGAATGACACAATATCCTTTTCTGCTCATTTTCAGCTCGTCAATCTCTACAATCAAGTGTCCAGGAATAGTCTTGTTAAAGAAGAAGCAGTTTAAAGCTACTGGATCGGTTTGATACTTTTCAGCAAAGTGTCTAATAACACTGTCCATGATGATTGCCATAACATAGCCGCCCTGGATACAATGAGATGCTTAGTTCAAAGCTCTTTGGTGTTGCCACAGTGATATCACTTACATTAGGTACATCACCAATAGACCATTTCTATTTCATGTATCTTTTTAGTCCATCAGGGCAATACTAAAGCCGGTTCCACTTACGTCGCTTGCAACACCTGTGAAGATGAAAGTATCTCTATGCGATTTGCCCAAAAATGAGGTATTTGATGCAAGATCGAAGGGTGAAATTTCGTCTACTGATTGAGTGATGGACATGGCTTCTTTACGTATAATTAATTAAAAAACAAGCAAAAAAAGCTGTAGAAAGGGGCCCTTTTTAAGTCAAATGAAATTCAGGCTGAATGTTTCCTCTCAGCTGTTTTACGATTTCTAATCACAATCATCATTTAAATGCACTTGTGCTACCAAAGTGTGAATAATACTAAATAAAACACCTGTCAAAACCGTTAATGGCAAAGAAATTCTCCAGTCAATCCCAAGCAACAAGCAACAAGCGGCTTCACATGTATTCAATTGAATTTTCATGTCGACAGGAAAGCTTGTTCAAGTGTCAAATTCACCAAAATGTCATTTCTCACGCTTTCAGAGGAAATTTAAACATTAATCAGCATGTTTGTTCGCCATATATATTTACAAAAGTTTATCCTTTCTACTGGATATTGACCTTCAAGGATGTCGTTTTATTCAGAAATCAAGAGGACTTTTGACCAGCATGGCTTCCATTACTACTAATACTGCTGCTGCTGCTGCTATTATTATTTGTAGTCATCATCAAGATACCAGTACCTGGTAGTGAGGAAGCTGCATTTCTGTATCCTAACGTAGATCCATGTTCCGATGAATACAGCGATTGTTGGTCATAATAGCGAGGTTTCTTCAGCTGATCGTCCGAAATAGTGGAGGCAATGAGTGCCTCTGTTCGTTGTCGTTTTTTAATCACATCTGTCTTCATTGAAAGCGGTCGTTTTTCATTGTGCAATTTCAAACTATTTTTCGCATGTTAATTTGGAGTCTCCACCATTTTGAGATGCCACACTTACTATAAACCGCAAGCGTTACATAAAGGGGCTCCTTCTATGTCCCGTCGCCATAGTGGCGTTTTGACAGTTCCGCAATTGGAACACACAGTTTGTGAATCCGTACTCTGCAGTTGTTGCTGTTGCATTTGCTTTTCGGTATCGTCTTTCTGCTCATCCGTAGTGACATCTTCCATTGGATCATTGGATTCGTGCTTCCTTGTTCCTGTAGTCGGCTTTAAATGCTTCGGCCTAGGTGCGTTGTGTAATTTGAGACTGTATCGCGGAAAATCAGCATATATGTCCAAAAGCAGGGAGAAAAAAGAATACTTACTATAATCCACAAGCATTGCAAAGAATTTTATCATCAGCAGATCGTCTCCAAAGAGGTGTCGAGGTGGCATCACAATTGCTGCAGACGGGAGGCTTTTCGTCCGTAGTAACAGAAGAAGAGAGCGAGGAAGATGGGTTAGATGTGGTAGATGTCGGTGTGGAGGCGTGGTATTTCTTTTTAGCAGACACTGATGCTGGTGTGGATGATAGAGCGCTGTTGCAGGGATTCAACTGAAACGTATTATAGTAATGTTGCGGGTTGCTATTCACTGCGTTTGATGCGGCTGTACTTGGTGGGTTCACAAATTTATTGCTATTGTTTGGTATAAAGCTTAAAGGCGAAGAAGTGTATGGCTTTTGTTGTTGATGTTGTTGCGACGGTGCTGGCGATGCCATTGCGGATGGACGTCTCTTTGCAGGAGAGAGTAACCTCTCTGCAGAAGCCAGTGTCTGTGGCGGTAATGTGGCGAGTAGTTTGTTGTGGAGTGTGGCATTCGGTAGTGTCGTTAATGCAGCAGCAGTTGCAGCGGCAGCGGCAGCAACATACGCCGCATTATTGAAATCAACGACTAAATCTTGCTGCGCTTGTTGTTGATACGGCTGTTGTGATGGTGGTTGTGATTGCATTTGTTGATAATTTGGCATGCCTGGGCTCACACCGGTAGGCATGGTGAGTGAGGGAATCTCTAGATGATCTGCAAACAAGGAGTGAATCCCAGAAATGGGGTCCATGAATAAAGTTGAATTTGCATAGTTGTTGGACAGTGATTGTGGTACGCTAGGTGCTGAGGCATACGGCATGGAGTTGGCAGTGGTAGTAGGGTAATGATTGGCATTGACTTGGTTGGGAGGGTACATTTGGTTATTCGGTAACCATGGTGATGCACTCATAGCAATGTCTGTTGCTTGCTTCTCGTTGGCTGTTGTCGATGTAGTCGTAGATGCTGCTGGAGCATTGGTATCAATAAAGTCCTGCATGCCAAAAGGGAAAATATCCTTCAATTCAATCATCAAATCACCCTCTTGGTCAGAGGTAAATTGATTCAATATGAAATTTTCAGTTGCAACAGGCTTGATTTCGTCCAGACTGTAGTCTAAAACTGACTCTGGTGTTTCATTGACACTGAGTTGCTGCTGCTGCTGCTGCTTTAACGGCTTTGTTGGTTCAAGCTCTTCCTCTGTTTCCATCTGTTGTGTGGTCCTTTTAGACCATTTCTGGTACTTATGGTTGGATTTGACGTCATTGCTAACAAGAACGTTTTGTATAAACCATAGTCTCCATGACAAATTCTCGAGCCTAGAACCATTTTCGAGGGAATCTTTGACTTTGGTACACACTCGCCATGTTTTTGATAATTCGTCTTGATCAAGGTTGGAGAGTGGTAAGAAGGATTCGTTTCCTTCTATTTTCAGTACGATAGGTGGCATGTTTCTTTGGTGTTGCTGTTATTGTTCTTTAAAATGTACAAGAAGAAAAGAAAGAAAAAAGAAAATATCAGCCAGACTGAAAAAATATGGAAAGAAGGCGGGTAAATGTTTATGGAAATGTACAGCAACAAATATTTACGAAATAAACACTTTTTTGAGAGCATCCATTGTGTACACATCTCCCGTTCTGGGACAAGTAATTTTGCCATCCATTTTTGCCGCCATGTCCTGCAAAGCCTAAAAAAAAAACGTTAATTGGTGCCATGTTCTCGAACAAATGTTACTTACATTGAAGCTATACACTCTTCCATTAGGCAGCAACATGGGAGGATTGTCTTCATTCATAATCTTGCCACTGATGCGACACACAATGGTAGAATTTACATGGTGGCTCAACGGTAGCTTCTCTGCTAAGCTGCCTAGTGTTTGGTTATCACAAATGGGACAATTGACGTTTTGATTTTCATGCTCGTAGCATTGTGGTGTTTTCAGTGCTGATAGACCGGCTTGCAAAGTGATGGATAACAGAGGATGAGAGGTCAGTGAACATAGAGCGTAAAAGTCTGATCTGAATTGCTCAATCAGTTCTTGCCAGCGACTTGGATCATACATGTCCTTGTAGGGCTGACATTGAGTATCACTTTTGTATGCCAGTAAACCCATTGCCTGTCCAATGCGCCTCTCCTCGGTCGTCTTCCAAGGCGCCAAATACTTGTTTGCATAGGCAATAGCGTCCAATCCTCTCGATGATCTTGCTAGTTCAATGTGCTCCTGCAGTCTCAAGTTGAACTCCAATGTACTCTTCATCTTTCTCAAGCTGGACTTATTTTCGCTGCACCAAGATAAGCATTCCTTGCAACTGTGGTTTCTTAATGCCTGCTCGATTTTCTCTGATTGAGCAAAAAGATGAATGTCGACCATGTCCTTTGCCATAAAAATAAATGTCACTAAAACGCCTTTACACCGCTACAGATATCCAAGCATACTCACCTCGATGCCACCCTCTTCTGCTACTCTTTTAGCTGATTTTGTCATGCCTTCGCGAAGCAAATAATCTACAATGACTCTGTCTAATCTCGTCTTGTTCCATGCTGTAAATTCAGGTGCTCTGGGAGAGGTAACGTTCTCAATCTGCCTCAGGTTTTGGATCCTCTTTTCAATGCGTGTAGCGTGAGCCAATTCCTCGCTTTTTGCTTTTTGCAACTTGGCGTGACATATGCGCTTTAGTCTTCCGTCTGCAATGCGAGATTTGCTTGGCTATCTTACCTTGCGAGTCAACTTGTCTACTTGCTTCAACAGATCATCAATGACTGCACTTGTTTTCTCGGGTGATAAAGAGGTGTCTTGTATACAGCGCTCAATCTTATCATGCAGAGATGTCAGTTCTTTTTCAATGTATTTATGCTGATATCGGAAGGATTTACGAAGTTGCTCGTAAGGCACCTGTGCTACATGTTATTATTTCCGATGGACAATGCAATACGTGGATACTCACTTTGATAAGAGAGGGCTCCAGCTCTATGATTTGGTCAGGCTTGATGGTATTCATAGAAAACTTAAAATGAATAAAGAGAAAAAGAAAATGGAAAATGGAATCGTGTGTGTAAGAAATGGGAAGATGCGAGAGAGCAGGATTGCAATCATGCTACACGCCGACAAGAGTCACGGGCCATTGATATCCGGGTTCATTTGGCTCATGAAGATGGTTTACCTTTTTCTTTCATCTTTTCTTAACTACTTGGATATGGTTGATAAAACACAGAGAACAGTAGTCAAGCCTCAAGCAGCGCTGGTAAGAAGTACAGCATTGTGTTCTATGAATCTCTGCTGATGGTTCCTGTCATAGACTACCAATGATCAAGATAAACGAAAGCTTGAAATGATTCAATTAGAAACTCGCTACAAGGCCTCCTTCAGACTTGTCAGGTAAATTTTTACTGTGGCAGCCACCGTCTCCTGAGAAATAGACACTCATCCTGAATCTAATGTAGCGAGAACAAGGACGGGACCATTGTTCGACTTGCCATCAAGCCCTCAGATCCAGATTTCCCGTACGAAATAGACGCACTTCAATTGCAGTTAACGATTCCACGAGACTACCCCAAAGTCTCATGCAAGGTTCAAGTACTGAACTCTGACATTCCTAAGGGATTTGCCATGTAAGCCATTATACGGGTTGTGTCCACATGCGCTGTGATTGACATGCAAGTATCATCTAGTAATTTGGAGAAGGGATATATTGCTCGAGTGGAATCATCCACAGCACATCAAACGCTTGTCAGACAAATGAATTGGCTTGATCGCAATATGGAGAGCTTATTACAGCAAGCGCCTGCACCTACAGTGAGATTCATTGCGCACAATAAGGAACTAGCATCCACCGCAGTAACCGCAGTATCCCCGCAGCAGCAGCAACCAGTTAAACACTATATTGATGCTACTGCTGAACCAATCAGCAACGCAAATATCAGACTGCCTCCTAGACAATATGAAGCTAGTGCTTCCTCATCATCCCCAGCTACAGCATCCTCCTCGAAGCCTATTCCCAACAATAAGCCTTTACAGGTGGAGAGACTCGAGCCAGTAAATGTGCCTGTTTTGGATACGGTTTCCAAGAAACAATATAGCGCCAAAGAGCTGTCTCAAGCTGACAAGAGGCGAAAGCATGAATATAGACAGCTTCAGACTCGTTTTTGCGATACTTTTAGAACGGTGAGGTATGTCATTATGAGGTGGAAAGTAGAGGTGCACCATGATTAACCTGGCAGACTTGCAGAACCACAAGCAAAGAAACTATTGCAACGCTTACGATGATTATCAATGACACTGATTTCACACACGAACAACTTATTGGAGGAAAAGAATTGCATATAAAATACCACGTGCCTGCACTATATCCCCTTGAATCATGCTCCATTGAAATCGACAATAAGAAGCTGGACAGAACAAGAGCTACTTGGATTACGCAAGGATTCGAAGAGCATGTTGCCAAGGGAGATTACACTTTATTTGAAAATTTGAATTGGCTCAATCGCAATATAGAACTCTTATTAAGCACGCCACCAACGCAAAAGACAGAGGAGCAAGTGGAAGCAGACAGCATCGCAGCAGCCCAACAAAAGGATCTGAAACCACCTCTCAAAGCAGCACAGCAGCAACTTGGATTATCCGTTACAGCGCCTGAATTTACGCCTCAGCAGACAAAGCCATCCGATACCAAAAAGAAGGCCTCCTTGTTTGATGAAGCTAGTGATATAAAAAAGAACAAGGTGATTATTGTCAATGATCCCAGTCTGGTGATTGAACAAGCAGATGAAGAGGAGGTGGAGGTGGAACTAGCCGAGGGCGAGGATGACTATCACCGTCATTTGAAGGAGGCGCATCAGCAGCAAGAAGGAGGCGAAAAGACATTGGTAGGCCTCAGTCAGCCTGTCGTTCGCAGAGGCACAGAGATCAGGCTTGTGGATCCCAAGTTGGAAAATATTTCACTGTTTCGTTGTGCTCTGCTCCATATCATGGTGAAATGCGCTAGGTGTAAAGACACAGTTGAAGTGGAAAACATCAAGCCCGAACAAGAAGACAAGCAAGCAGCCTCATCCTCATCAAAGCAACCGCCTAAAACGGAACGATGGATGTCTTGCCCTACATGCTCATCCGTATTGGGTATCAAATTTCTTGGAGGTAGGCACATTATTGCATCCATTTCAAATGATAATTAATAATGGGGTTATCATAGAACTTGTACATCAGGGCGCATTATCAGTGGGTCTCTTGCAACTAGCTGGATGCACACCCTATGATATCCTACCATCGGCTTATATTGGTACTTGCGGATCTTGTATGGCTGATATGGCATCTACAGTTCGGTTGTCTCCCCATGATCCACCTCGTACCTTGAACTGCTTTTCTTGTCATACGAAAATGACATGTGGCCTAGGTGATTACAAATTTGTCAAGATTGGAAGTGAGGGAGGTGAAAGGCTGATAGCCAACGAAGAGCAAGTCATGAAGCTCAAGAAGAAGAAGAAGTCCAGAGAAGATCCATTGACCATTGGAGAACCTTTGCCTGATCAAGGTACATGCTCGCACTATCGCAAATCAAAGCGATGGTTCAGATTCTCCTGCTGCAGCAAATTGTACCCTTGCGACATTTGCCATGATGGACATGAAGACCATAGCTACGACTATGCTAAAAGGCATGTGTGTGGTTTATGTTCTAGAGAGCAGACCATTGTGAGCGGGAAGCCTTGTGTGTGTGGACATGAATTCGAAAAAGCACCACAAAAGCAAGCCTTCTGGGAAGGTGGTAAAGGCGTCAGAAACAAGATTGTCATGAGCCGAAAGGTAAAATATATACATATCCAAATATATATGCTATAGTGTTATTTATTCTCTCTCTCTCTCTCTCTCTCTCTCTCTCTATAGGATCCACATAAACACAAGGGATCGGGAAAAACCACTTCCAAGAAACAAGATAGAGTGGGCATTGCCGGTAAAGAACGTCATCAAACTGAATCTTCATCCTGAAGATTTCTTCTGATAAAGCGGTGTATGTATTTGAAGCACTGTTTTAGAAATTTAACTTTTTTCCATGTACATGTCAAAAACCTAAAAGGATGTTATAAAGTCGATCTGATATGTAACAGAAGGGTATTTTTGATCAACATGGGCTCTCGATGCTTTTTTTGTATGCAGTGGTGTTTCTTTTCTGCTTGTTTTTATGCAAATTGACAACATATTTCGTTTTCATAACGGATTGTAAGATTTCTGCCCTTTAAATATGTTTATGGAAAAAGAGAAATTTCAATTTTGAGATCATACACATTCCCGCACATCAAACATCACATTTCATGTATAAATTCTACATATTTTAACCATTCTCTCTATCTTTTTTTTTTTTTTTTTTTTTTTTTTTTTTCTCTCAACATTCTAAATAAAAATGGCAAGCGATACAACAACACGTTTAAGTCCAACCATCTCATACATTGATGTTCATCCGTTGACGCCTACTCCAGCAATGACAATCAGTAACACAAACAGCACCTCGAATTCTCCAGTCAGCTCCTTGCCATCATCGCCTCCACTCTCTTCTCAACAACAACACAAGCAAGAAGATGTTACAACAGTGTTTGTAGTCGGCTTTCCTGATGACATGCAAGAAAGAGAGTTCCAAAATATGTTTATATTTGCAAAGGGATTTGAAGCTGCTTCTTTGAAATGGCATTGCAGAGATCAGCAAGACGATCAAGACTTTTACAACATTCTGAACAATCTAAGCAAGAAACAAATGGTAAGCACAATGTACTCTATTCTTCTTGGTATGTAGACTCGTAGACTAACATTCGTCTCCCAGATTGGTTTTGCAAGATTCAGTACTCGACAAGAAGCCAAGGAGGCTGCTATGGAAATGAATGGTAAACGGGTAGATGTTGAAAAGGGATGTATTTTGAAAGCGGAAATGGCAAAAAAGAACTTGCACATCAATCGCAATTCCATCGTACCATCCACCGGTGCCGCTGCCTCAGCTATCAATAGTAACAGCTTGATGCTTTCTGCCGTTTTGCTACCCGAACCAGCTTCCAGTTCTCCAATGTCAATCATGTCCCGAAGACTTAGCCAACCTCAAGCCCAGCACAACGATCTGTTTCCAACATCACAACCCTCTGCTACTGCCGGTGCTGGCTATGAATCATTCTCTCCTCTTCCAAGTGATTTGCTGTCTCCAGGAGACTACAAGAATGACCCTTTTTTAAACGAAACACTCATGACAACAACATCCAGCACACCTTCATTTAGTGATTCTCTGTTTGGTCTCCGTTCCCAATCATTTGATGGCCGAAACGGCATCCCTGCTACAGCAACAACGAGCCGTAGTCGTAACAGCACGATTAACAACAGCACAAATGACATGGCCCAGTTCAACTTGTTTTCCAAGTCATTCAACTCAAATGAGCTTGACACTGATCCATTCGACTACCTGTCAAAATCAACACCCGTCCCCCACCATGAATTTGCATTTTCCATGAACAATAACGCCTTTTTTGGAGAAGATCTACTTAGTGTCAACAGAAAGAGCTCTTTACAGCCTTCCTCACCCAACATCGCAAGATCTGCTAGCATTTCTGCTGGTTACTTCCGTTCCGCAAACAGTCCGGCCGATCAAAATCCACCATGCAACACGCTTTACGTTGGTAATTTGCCACCTGCTACAAGCGAAGATGAATTGCGCTCTTTGTTCTCTACTTGCGAGGGATATAAGCGCATGTGCTTCCGTCAAAAGCCTCAGGGCCCCATGTGCTTTGTAGAATTCGAAGATGTGGTATATGCTACTCAGGCCATGAGCCAACATCAAGGCCATGTCTTGTCCAATTCCGTCAAAGGTGGTATTCGACTCTCATTCTCCAAGAATCCTCTCTTTATCAAGCCAAACAAGGATATAAACAGCACTGCATTTAGCTTCAAGCAAATGGGAACTGCTCTTTTGGCCGATCTATAAATCAAATTATATCTTTATATATACATATAGCATTCCTCGCAATTCACTTCATTTAATGCATTTCCTATTTCTTTTTCACTATTTTCTTCTATAATACATATAGCATTTGTTTATGTTTTGGAAATTATGTTTTTTGGACGTTTCACCCGTAATGAATGATGGCAGAATTTTTCTGTTTTTGAGTCAAAATGTCTATATCGAGTGATTTTGTTTAAGCTTGAAAAAGTAGAGCCTATTTACAAAACTTTAGCTAAGGGTTTCACTGGCTGAGCTACTGCAAGGTAATTTTACAGCCATTGATGACAAAGAGAAGGTCTGGATCCGTCAATTGGGAATTCAACATATTTGGCGTTATGCCCAGCATCAAAAAATACAGCAGTAATACCAGCAAGTTGATTTTCAAAGCGCTTTATTGATAAAATTACATGAAACTAAGTAGAGGGTATTTAAATTAAGAGTACTGGAATATGATAGAAGGCTGCTGTTCTATCTATGTCGTCTTTTCAAAGCCGCGAACAATGTCTTCGAGAGAGCGACCCTTGGTCTCAGGAACCTTGAAATAAGTAAAGACCAGAGCAAGGGCAGCAACACCAGCAAAGATGGCAAAAGAATAGCCCTTGATACCATCAAAGATGAGAGGGAAACACTGACCAATCAAGAAGTTCATGGCCCAGTTGACAGCAGTAGCAATGGCACCAACAGCAGATGAAGCATAGACAGGAGTCAATTCAGAGGTCATCATCCAAGGAATGGGTCCAACACCAATGGCAAAGGCAATAACATAGCCAAAGACAGAGACAATCAAGAGAGCACCCACATTGTAGACGTAGCCAATGATCAAGAGAACAGAAAAGATGCAGGCACCAACTTCAGCAATCATGAGCAAAGGACGACGACCCATGCGATCAATCAAGATCAAAGACAAGATAGTGGAAGCAAAATTGACAACAGTGGTGACAATAGCCATGTACTTGGACATTTCAGCATCAAAAGCCATGTTGAAGATGGTGGTGGAATAGTACATGACAGCATTCATACCAATCAACTGTTGAGTAACGTGGAGAGCAATGACAGTGAGAGCAATACGGTGGATAAGAGGATCAGTAAAGATTTGTATCATATTCATGGGAGAGCGGGCACCTTCATCTTGGGTAACAACGCCATCTTCAAGTTGATCATCAAAAGACTTTTTGTCATCCATAGAAACATGATCGCCCACAATGGCTTCTGCAGCTGCAGAACCCAATTGACCCTCAACCATGCCGTAGAATTCTTTATCAATGTTGGAGTTGGGACGAAGTCTTTGGAGGTTTACTCTGGCTTCTTCAATGCGGTTGATAGAGACAAGATAACGAGGAGATTCGACACAGCTAGCCATCAAGAAAAACTGAGCAATGGCAGGAATAGCAACAATGGCATAGTTAATTCTCCAGAGAGGCACGCTCGCAAGGGGAAGGCCGATAACAGAAGCAAGCAAGATACCAATGACAATAGCAAACTGGTTACAGGTGCCCATGGTACCACGAGCCTTGATAGTAGAGACTTCACCAACGTAGGTAGGCGTAGAGAGAGAACCAAGACCACAAGAAAGACCACAGAAGATACGGCCGATAATGAACATGGCAGGATTGACAGCAACACCGATCAACAGGGCACCAATGATCCAACCAATGTTGTTAAAGATGATGGTCTTCTTGCGACCAAATTTAGTTTGAATAGCACCACCAAAGAGACCACCAATTAAACCACCCACACAGAAGGAGGCAACAGCGAAACCCCAGAGAGCATTGTTCATGGGAAGACAATCAGGGAAAGCTTTGCTAGCCACATGAGCAGCACCATTTTCACAGGCATGAGTCACTTCACCAGGCACATTAGCAGAGCCAATGACCCAGCCGTTACTGAAGGAGCCAAGACAGAAGATGATGACACAGTACACCATGTAACCTGGCATTTTGAGTTCAGTAGAATCTATCATTTTATGTTATAAATGAAAATAGAGAGTGTGTAAAAGAAAATATGTTTGTAGAATACAAGTTATCTGAGAGATGATAATGAGAAGTGAATTATTGGCGAAAACCAGTTCTTTATATACATTGAATCCCTCGTGCATCTGTATTGTTTTCTATAGTGTGGACCCTATTTTCTTATTTTCCAGGCATGTTTGAAAAGGTAATGATACGATGTCTCAGTGGCAATGTATTACTTATTTAGGGATTTAATGCAATTCAGTCCATAGATTACCACTGTGTTGGTGTTGATAATAGAAAAACACAAAAGTATTGTTAGTCAAAAGATTTCCATGCAAGATGCCATGGTCGGTTTGTACAGAACTACCAATCAAGATGTGTAAATAACTGCAATGAGTAGTATGATAATGCGCTCAAGCATTGATACTCTCTACAAATCACGATATCCTGCCCCACAGAGGGACACTTTCAAGGCTTAATTTGGTAAGCCGAAAGACAAGCCCATCAACAAAGCGCAGAGACAGAAGATCCGGCTTCCCCCTTTTTGTAAGGTACATATAAATCTGCCCTGCTGATACAACTGTATACCAAATCTTAAAGTGAGCACGCACACACCGAAAAAAAGGAAAGAGCATAATTTTCATTCTTTACTTCTCCTTTGTCATTTACAATAAGCAATAATACCCACAATAAAATGCTGTTTCATACAATACCTAAGCATATTGATCACTCCCTGGAGGTTTGTAGAGGTATTGGCAGCTAAATAGGTTTCCAGCTCTTACTTTTTCTGCAGTACCTGGAATATGATCAACTCAATGAAATGTCGTTGGCAGATATCATTGATATTTGTAGAGAAAGAAACCTTCCAACTGAAGGCAAGAAATCACAGCTCATCAGTGATTTATTGTTTTGGGTGAGAATTTCGACAAGTGTGTTTATGAACATGTACTGATGGGATATATATATATATGTATATAGCGAGACCATACTAGACCTATACCAGCGCCATCAACGCCTCGTCTTGGCTCTCTGTCAGACCAACAACAAGACATGAATTCATTTCTGTTGCAACAACATCAAGCAGAGAGAAAACTATTGAACTCTACAGAGTTTTCGCAGTTGTTTCTGGATGATGATTCAGCGTCCAACTTGTGCATCCCTTTTTCTGATTTGATCTATGGTAAAAAAATTGGCAGTGGAGGCTTTAAAGATTGCTACGAAGGTAAGAAGAGCGGTTTATAAAGGCGTGCCTGGACCATTATCTCATTTTACTGCAGGCTATTACAAAGGGGTAAACTGCATAAAGCACACTATATGGTGACATGTATTCACAATGCTTTTTCTTACAGGAAGTCGTGGCTATTGGAGAACTGCGATTAACGCATTTCAGTGAAATCGACTTGGCAGAAGTGAAACATGAAATCAACGTATTAAAGTACAGTTCAAAAAAGAGCCATATGATGAGCTGATAATTCACACAAACAACACAAATAGACAGCTGCGACATGAAAATGTGATTAAGTTTATAGGCGTTTGTACTCATCCAAGTCATCTGTGCATAGTAACTGAAATCTGTGCAAAAGGCGATTTATTCGATGTGATTCGCAACTATCCAAGGCCTAGTTTTGCACAGCAAATTATGCACATGTATGATATTGCGTTGGGTGTATCTTATTTACATACAAGGAGACCGTCTATCATACATCGAGTGAGTTGTCAATATACTGCGTTGTGCTGCGTTATGCTTGTAATCACGTTTACTAACGAAATACGCAACTGCGGGATAGGACTTGAAATCAATGAATATTTTGGTAAGAGGCATTGGTAGAAACCCCCTTTGCAATAGATACCAACGCGGTCAGTTTATAGATATCCAAGAACGATAAAGCCAAAATCAATGACTTTGGTCTGGCTCGTATTAGACCCAAGGCAAACACATTAATGCACACACAATGTGGAACACCAAATTGGCAAGGTACTAGCTTGGGAATGACTAATATCTACTATAGTGAATCTAATCATCAGGTACCTAGCACCTGAATTTTGGTCTTCTAATCCTAGTTATTCTGAAAAAGTAGTTACTAGCATATATAGATAGAATTACCCGACCACTGACTCTGTTTTTCTTTCTACAGGTGGATGTGTATGCATGCGGCTTGATCTTTTGGGAAATACTGACTTGGGGCATGTATGGATATCCTTATCAAAGTAAGACCGCATTACTGCTTTTTCTCATCGAATACTATTGACAAGAGAGTAGATTTAGCTGAGCATGCTTTGTATGTTGCCGTCAAAGATCACGATATTCGACCGCCAATATCAAAGTTGACAAACCTATATCCTCGTAATCTGTTGGTCCTTATCATGGAGATGTGGGAAACTGATTCATCATTGGTACGTAAAATACTTGATACCATGAATACTATTTTCACGCATCATCTCTCACAACAGCGGCCCTCCATGACACATGTAGTTGAAAGATTATCCACCTATTTATTATAAGATAGAAAAAGTACCACGAAGAGAGAATAAATGTATACTTTATTATTGATCCGTTTTTTTTTTCCATGATAATATGTAATGTGCACACTGTAATTTCTTCTTGTCCTTAATCTCGACATGAACCTTCTCCTTTTTTAACGTCTAATACTTGAACTTCTGCGTCTGGAAAGTGATCTGCTATATGATCTTGATCTGCTTCTTCTGAGAGGGGATCTACTGCGTCGAATGGATCTGCTTCTTCTGATGGGAGATCGGCTACGTCTGATGGATCTACTACGTCTAATAGGAGATCGGCTTCTTCGAAGAGATGATCTGCTACGACGAATAGATCTGCTACGTCTGATGGGTGACCTACTGCGTCTAATAGGTGATCTGCTACGACTGAGGCTACGGCTACGACTCAAACTTCTAGAATAACTTCTGCTACGAGAATAACTGCGTCCACGAGAGTAGCTGCGTCTACTACGAGAGTAAGATCGTCTTCTTCCACGAGAAAAGCTGCGACTGGGAGATCTTGAGCGAGAATAGGAATAGCGTCTTCCACGTCGTATAGGTGATCTGGAAGGTGAACGAGAATAACGTCTTCCTCTGTCTCTGCCGGTTCCATATCGATCTCCACGACGGTTTACTGAAGGTGGTGGGCCACGGTTGTTGGCTTTTCTATATGGAGGTGGAGAATAACGAGCTAATACGAAGGCAATTAAACAAACTGCACAAATGTTCACAAGGTTTGGTTCTCTTACCTCTGCGTGGTGAAGGGGATCTCTCACGATGTTTGGGAGCAACAACACAGACAATTCTCTTGCCATCCAATTGTGCCTGTCAGTAGGAGATGTAAGATTGTGCATTGAACACATGAACTGCAATTGCTTACATTATCCATATAACTTATGGCCTTATTAGCGTCCTCTTGCGTCTCAAAATCAATGTATGCCTTTCCCTTGTTTGTATTCACTAATGCACAAATGTTGAGTTTCTCATTAAATCCAATTTCCTGTGTGTAGGAGGCATTTACTTACAGAGCTTATTGATGGGAAATTCAAGGCTCTTGATCTTGCCAAATTCGCTGAATATCTCTCTGACATGATCTTCTTTGACATTTCGCGTCAAATTAGTAATGAGGATAGAGTGGAGATGTTCTGGGCTTGCTGAACGAGAGCGTGAGCGACTACGACGAATAGGTGAACGCGAACGTCTTTTGGGCGAACGAGGAGAGGGTGATCTTGAATATGCAGATCTTGGAGAAGCCCTGTTTAATCAAGTCAATATGCGCCATACATCCGTGCATGTTTTTGAGAAACTTACATTTTTTCAATGTGTTTTGGTGAGAAGGGCAACTTGAAAAAAAGTCTGATATACGGATTAAAGATTCTTGTTGCTCATAACACGCTTAATGTGACGTGAATTGACAGGATAAACTTGAGCAGTTGCGTTGGAGATTTACCTTGGAGACTTATTAGTAAAGTCACTACAATGTACCTTCAACTGCATGAAAACAAACTTGCTTGGTTCAATCAGCATCCTCCAGACAGCCTGCTATGATGAAGGAAAGGATTGCAGCTCGATCAGAAATGTAAATCTACGGAAAGATAAGATTTTTTATCCACATCTTCCATAGTGTATCATTCTAAGAAAGATAGTTCAATGTAGATGTAAACAATACCACTTTCACCCAAGAAAGGGTACGGCATGGCAGGCAACAATGGCAAACGGACGTTGTTAGCAGATCAAATGCCATGAAAGATGCCCTGGAAGTAGCTCAGACGCATTTAAAAAGATCTCTGGAATGTTTGTATATCATTTCTATTTTGTAACTTTGCACAATCTTCAATCTTTTTACAGCCTTATTACCACCAAGAAATGTCAAAAACTGAGACATGGATATAGTAGGTGCGGCATTGAATACTATCAGAATCTATTGCACTGGTGAGGACTCCACTGAATATACATTTAAATGAATTGCTTCATCGCAAACAATAGATAGTAGCCTTTGAGATGAATGTCATGATCTCTCAAAAGGCATCTCTGTGTTGAATAGGACGGAAACAAAACTTTTGATTTAATTCGTTTTGAATACCATATAAATTTTGCTCTACTTGGATGATTGCATAAGATACAAGGGAGGGGGATCAAACATTATTGCCACAATTATAATAATGATTCACATTATTTGCTCACAACTTAATTTCTTAGCTTGAAAAAGTAATCAAGCAGAACAAAAACGAAATACTATATGTACAGCGAAACTACAAGAAAGCAATACGAGAATAAGGCCATAAATGATGCTCATCCAAACTGAAGAAGAATAGAATGATCGACTTTGTTCAAAATTCCATCCAATACTAAAAAAAAAAAAAAAAAAGTGCCTTGGAAATGTCATTTTCTGTATAAACGAATTGAGGTTGATGTTATGTCAAAATACAATGTAAAATTGAATCTGCCAAAGAATTACACTTTTATTGAGAATGCATCCCAAGGATGCATTTATATACTTTTCATTATGCTAGGGTTTACAGCATGATGATGAACTATAATACAAATAGGTTTACTATCTACCCAACAATTGATTTGTAAATCATGATTAGCATGATTTACCCAAAGGACCTAAGAATAGCCTAAAACCTTTAGTGTGAGACCTTGCTATGACATTTGATATAACAGTTGAAACTTCTGCTTCAAACGCCAAAGATCTAAGCCGGGATTGCGCCTTGCTCATAAATTGATTAATATTCTTTTAGGAACCAATGAATTAAAGAAACGTGATATTTGACTACGGTCTAAATGCAAAATCCAGATAGGACTGTGTATTCAACAAACTCATAACATTACCTTTCTTTAGGGGACTATCGTCCTCAAAATTTGCAATAAACGAATTTCGTTAAAGGCAATAACAAAATTTCAAACCCCAATATCGGAGTTTTTGTTTGATTTGAAATCCAGCTCTTGCCAAGATGACGATGGTGCAAACGAAATTTGCGTAGGTAGCATGGTTGTTGAGAAAATGGAGATTTTAGAGAATGGTTAATTTTGAATAGATGCTGCTAGTAAAACTTCTTAAATTATTATATAAATGTGGGATATATGTGTAGTGAAAGTTGTAAAGGGTAGTTTTTTTTTATTAGGACATGTTTGATGTGGGGTTATTGAGGGGGATGTCGATGAGTAATGATGGAACATGTTCCAGATGACCGATTTTCAAAAAGCCATACCTCTGTATTTTACTAAGTGAACGGGAGCTTCAAACTAAATAGCTTTTGTTTCTTTTTCAATTCTCTATACAATGGTATGATTATAGGATAATAAAAAAAGTTTTGATTATCCCCTGCTTGTAGCTCATGAAATATAAGTTTTTGAGCGAATTCATGAAGGGAACGTACATCTGATACTTTAAATTCTTATATTATGATAGATATAACGTAGAGCTATCGAAATGCTTTTGTCTTGTGCAAATCCGGTGAGTATTTATCGAGATATGGCCAAAAAAGGGCATCTTACAAAATCATGGATTTTCCTTCAAAATCTGCTTGTGGATAGCAAGCAAAAAATCTGGTGACGATTTTTTGGTCAGGACAAGATTGTCAATATTTTATGATAGAGTCATGCTAGAGCTTCAAGTAATAGCTCATTCGATAGGAATTTTTTTGGTCTACAATGTTTAGTAATACTTAACAAAATGTTTTGATGACAGATACTGATTAATCTTTTGAAACAGTTAAAAAATTGCAAAAACAATCGCATCAAATATCAGATGAACAATGTACAGCAGAGACTTGATATGAGTATCATTGTATTCTCCTTTAAATTCTCTACAAGTTTCATATAAGCTTGAAGGGGTAGTTACTATCAAGAAACGCGTAATTTTAAGGTCGATAGATTTCGGAATCCTATGGATCATCATTCACAACAATAGAAATTGAAGCTCCGTTGACCTTCTGCACATGTACATCACACAAGTATGAATTTGACCGAGCATTTTAAAAATCGGAGCGTACGAAAAGGAGGGCCATATTAACTTGCTGGTTTCAAGTTATCAATAGATACCTGACATAATGAAGAATCTTACTTTTAAGATTAGAGAGTTGCAGCTTGCTTTGTTCAATAACAATAAGATTTGCAACTTAAGGTATGCATATTCCCCCGTGCAGTAGAATCAGGTTTGAGATTTTACAAAAAAAATAAAGCAATGATAAAAATACAATAGAAATCAACTGTATTTTATTTGTGTATAGAATGAGCTGAAGATCCTGGAATTGAGTAACAAAAGAAGAGTATTTATACATTTGCAACTAGCTTGTAGGATTAGTGATGATAGAGAGCAATAGGTGCTGCTGCTATTGCGATGATATCTGGCAAATGTTGTTGATGTTTGATTTAAAGTGATAATCAATGCGAGAGCACTGGCCATAAGGGTCGATTTAAGTAACCTTGATGGGCTTGGGTGAGCTACCGCCATAGTATGACTTAATGTAACCTTGATGGTTTAAAGTGTGATGTTTGTTATCGAAGTATGGAATCCTTTATCTGGGATATTGTGCAACTATGCCCTGCTGCCATAGTTGTCATATTTGAATATGCTTGTTATTGATTTGATTTTATTTGGATAATGTTAAGCACAAAGAATAAAAGGATTATTATTTGTAGCTTATAAAAAATGTTCGATATTATAAAAACAAGAAAAGACTTATTTGAATAAGATCAGACACAAAAACTAAAGATTTATTGATGAAGACAAGAGTTATTCTATTTATACTAAGTTCTGAATGCCAAAGTAGCAATTTATCTTGTACAACGCTTATCACATCTGGTGAACCTCAGTATTTAGATAGCTGAGATGCACTTCACTTATCATAGCTTGTCAATGTTGTTGCACAACACAGACATATCTACCCATCAAGAATACCTTAATCTTTATAGACAGTTGTAGCCCTTCTGGCACAACAGATAAATATAACATCTCTTATTACGACCATCATGGGTGTGATTGAATACACTGTGATCAGGAGTGATTCATTCACACGATGTGCGGTATAAGCGTGTATCTCTACTTTAGTATGTTTAAATGGTTGTTGATGTACATTTGAGCGTTTTTATTAATAGATCCAAATAGCATGAATTTGAATGAGTGCTATTTGATGAATTTTGGTTTTCAATCAATTTGCGTTTGGGTGGCTATTATTTCATTACACCCCGCTTAAAAATAGCGTCTCTGATGTCGATTAACTCAAGATGTAAGCATTTCCAATGTAATGTTCCCACTAAGAGGTTGCTCCAATATCATTACTCTACAACTTATTTAAGTTTGGTGAGATCCTAATTTTTTTACCTATGAAGACCTGGATGTACAAAATGTTTTTTTGATTTTGAGGTTTTCAACTTTTGGACGATTGAACATCGATTTTTGAAAAAGTGATGCTAGAGCTTTGAAAGTCGCATGTTCTTATATCAGTTTTTTGCCAAGATGACGGTGGTGTAGACGAAATTTTTGTAGGTAGCATGGTTGTTGAGAAAAGGGAGATTTTAGAAAAATGGTTAATTATGAATAGATGCTGCTAGTAAAACTTTTTAAATTACTATACGAACGTAGGCTGTATGTGCAGTAAAAGTTGTAGTGGAAACTTTATTTGACTAAGACATATTTGTTATGGGGCTATTGAGGGCGGTGTCAATGATCATTGAGTAGTAGCATTGGTTAAATTAAGTTTTGATGGAACTTGGCTGAGGTTTGAGTACTTGATTTGAGTTTGTTTTTCAGTAAAACTCTTGCTACTATAGGATAGGCGACGATAAAAAGCCTTATTCACTGTATGTTTTAAGGTTATACGAATGAAATTTCCAGCTTTAATAAGAAACTTGATTTGAAGAACTAAGCTTTTAACCCACACCAATGTATGCATAAATACAAAACCAAGCAGCTTTCCAAATGTGCATATCACGCATGAAACATGTTTATTTTGGGTATTTGGTGATTGATATGCCACAAGCATTTGTTGTATTAAAATGACATCCGGCAAAAATGATTTCCAAAAAGCATTGCTGCTACTTTTTTATTATTTTATAGTATGATGTTTTGTAATTCTATTGTATCATTTATAATAATGAGAAATGATGTTTAACTTGGCTGTGACCAATCAAAATTACGATATTGTTGCATACAAGCATGCATCTTAGGCTACATTCACTTTCTCCTCAAGCCACCTTTTACAGTGTAGCAGCATAGATGATGTTTATCGTATCACATCACATCTATGTTTACAAGTCCAGTCAATTGTGTGTGCACAGGTGCCTCAGGAACTACAATAAATTCAATCTCCCCAATGTCAAGATATCGAGATCCACCTACACTACATGAAACATATCGACTTAGGTGGCCTCTCAACAAGCTATACCAACAATCCATAAGGCCCCAGTGGCCTGCTATTTATATACCATCTCAACATAGTAGTCATTGACCAGGGATCTACCATATTTAAGCAAGCTAGATGCCCTGTAATAAAGAAGCTTTTTGCTTTCGTTTTAGATACAGTTGACAACTGATTATTATCATCGACTTATTATTGCGAATTCATCAATAAAGTACAATGAATCGAGGTGTTAATGTATACAAAGGATTCAGGGGATCTTATAATTGATAAGTTCAATGAAATAACGAAGACAATGAGCTATAGAGCTATATAGATATGGATTTAGGTAGGAACAAGATACTATTTTATTGTTTGCTATCATTTGAATGTTTATACTAAATTGATTCTATGAATTATGTGTCCTGAATTCTATTTCTATATGCTATAGTTTGTAATGAAGGGCTGACCCTTCTATAATTGATTTTGATACCCTTAATAATCCTAGAAGCTTAAACAGTTTTTATAGCTGGAAAGCTATATTTGTTGTTGAAAGATGGTAAATGATGATATTGATAATGTTACTAGAGGATGAAAGGATGGGTAATGTGGAGTTGCTTCCCATTTGTGTGCTTCCATTAGGAAAGAGAGATGTTCAAGAGTTTGAATATATATCTGTCAAAATGATACGAGGCTGAGTGGTAACTGATTTGTCATTCTTGATGTGGAATTTAAGGCTTGATAGACTAAAATTCACGGAAAAAAAAGAATAAAAAAAACAGTAATGTCAACTTGATAA